CTAGTGTTTTGGTTAGGATTTTGGCATCTATGTTCATCAGGGATATTGGTCTGTAGTTTTCTTTCTTTGTAGTGTCTTTTTCTGGTTTTGGAATTAGAATTATGCTGGCCTCATAAAACGAGTTTGGAAGTCTTACTTCTTCTTGAATTTTTTGAAATAGTTTGAGGAGAATGGGTATTAGGTCTTCTTTGAATGTTCGGTAAAATTCCCCCATGAAGCCATTTGGGCCTGGGCTTTTGTTTGCTGGGAGAGTCTCGATTACCTCTTCAATTCCTTTTGTTGTTATTGGTCTGTTCAAGTTTTCTATCTCTTCCCAGTTCAGTTTTGGGAGACTGTGTGTTTCTAGAAATTTGTCCATTTTGCTTAGATTGTCGAATTTATTGCTGTATAACTGTTCATAATATTTGTTAACAATCCTTTGTATTTCTCTGGTGTCAGTTATTATTTCTCCTCTTTCAATTCTGATTTTGTGTATTTGGGTTCTCTTTCTTTGGTTCTTGGTGAGTCTAGCTAAGTGTCCATCAATCTTTATCTTTTCAAAGAACCAGCTCTTTGTTGCATTGATCTTTGAATTATTTTTTGGTCTCCATGTCATTTATTTCTGCTCTGATCTTTACTATTTCCTTCCTTCTACTTGCTCTGGGGTTTTCTTTTTGTTTGCTCTCTAGTTCTTAAGTTGTGAGGTTAAATAGTCTGTTAGAAATTTTTATTGCTTCTTGAGGTAGGCCTGTAGTGCTATGAACTTCCCTCTCAGAACTGCTTTCGCTGCATCCCATAGATTTTGTGGTGTTGTGTGTCCATTTTCATTGATTTTCAGGAAGTTTTTAATTTCTTCCTTCATCTCCTTGGTAACCCATTTATTGTTCAATAACATGCTACTTAGCCTCCATGTTTTCAAATGTCTTTGCATATTCTTATTGCAGTTGATTTCTAGTTGCATGCCACTGTGATCTGAGAAGATGCTTCTTGATTTCAATGTTCTTGAACTTGTAGAGACTTATTTTGTTCCCTAACATGTGGTCTATTTTTGAGAATGGCCCATGTGCACTTGAGAAGAATGTGAATTCTGCAGTTTTGGGGTGTAATTCTCTATAGAGATCTATAAAATCCATTCAATCGAGCGCTTCATTTAGAGTCCGTGTTTCCTTGTTAATTTTTTGTCTAGAAGATTTATCCAGTGATGTCAGCAGGGTAGTGAAGTCCCCTGCTATAATTGTATTGCTACCAATTTCTCCTTTGAATCCTCCAAAAGATTTTAAATATATGTTGGTGCTCCTATATTGGGTGCATATATGTTTACCAAGGTTATATCTTCCTGTTGGATAGATCCTTTCAATATTATGTAGTGGACTGTTTTGTCTCTAATTATGATCTTTATTTTGAAATCTATTTTATCAGATATGAGTATTGCTACCCCAGCTTTTTTTGGCCTTCTGTTTGCTTGAAAAAATTTTTTCCATCTCTTCACTTTCAACTTATGTGAGTCTTTTGTTGTGAGGTGGGTCTCTTGTAAACAACATATATATGAGTCATGCTTTCTTATCCAGTCAGCTACTCTGTATCTTTTTATTGGAGCATCAAACCATTCACATTTAAGGTGATAATTGCCATGTACTTATTTATTGCAATTTTTGTTTAGTGTGGTTGTATTTTTCTTCCTATTTCTTCTATTAATTACAGCGGTCCTTTTAGCATATCTTACAGTGCTGATTTGGTGTTAATATATTCCCTTAGCCTTTTTTGTCTGGAAAGCTCTTTATTTGACCTTCTATTTTGAATGATAGCCTTGTTGGGTGAGTAGTCTTGGATTCAGATCTTGTTTTTCATTACCTTGATTACTTCATGCCACTCCCTTCTGGCCTATAGTGTTTCTGTTGAGAAGTCAGCGGAGAGCCTTATAGGGTTTCCTTTGTAGGTAACCTGTTGCTTATATCTTGCTGCCTTTAGGATTCTCTCTTTGTCTTTAATTTTTGGCATTTTAATTATTATGTGTCTTGGTGTGGGCCTGTTTGGGTTCTTCTTACTTAGGGCTCTCTGTACTTCTTGAATTTGAATGCCTTCTTCTTCACCAAGTTAGGAAAGTTTCTGTCACTGTTTTTTCAAATACGTTCTCTAACCCTTGCCCATTTTCTTCCTCTTCAGGGACTCCTATGATGCAAATGTTATTACATTTCCCGTTGTCCCACAGTTCTCTTAAGTTATCTTCCTGTTTTTAAATTATTTTTTCCATTTGGTTTTCTGATTGGTTGATTTTTTTCTACCCTGTCTTCTAATTCACTGAGCCGGTCCTCAGCTTCCTCTACTCTGCTGGTTAGTCCTTCCAATGTGTTCTTAATTTGTGCTATGTCATTCTTCATTTCCATTTGGCTGGTTTTCAATGTTTCTATATCTTTACTCATGCTGCTGATGTCCTTACTCATGCTGTTGAGCTTCCTCAAGATCATGGCTCTGAACTCTACCTCTGATAATTTGCTTAGCTGCATTTCATTGATCTCATCTTGGGTAGAGTTCTCTTGTTCTTTCATTTGGGATTTGTTTCTTTGTTTCACCATGTTGGCTATCTCAGTGGGTTTTGGAGCCTGCCAAATTTTCCCTGTGGGTGTTGGTGTTCTGCTGTTTGTGGCTCTCTCTATTGGGTTTGGATGAGCCTGGGTGGGCCCACATTAAACACCACTGTCAAGTCTTACTTTCCTGGGTAGATTTGCAAGCCCAGGAAAAGTTAAGTTATCCTCTAGCTTTTTCCTGGTGGCTAGTAGTCTCAGTTACTCAGTGTCTTGGAATGTAACCCTGGTGTTCTGCCTAAAAGGATTTCCAGAGGGTGGGATAGATGCTGGTTGTTAATGAGCCTCAATTTTCATTTCTCTGCCTCACCGGGGAAAGGCTGAATCTCCAAGGGGGAGGGTTACTGCCTTTCCCCACAGCTTGGGGAAGGAGCACACTGGCCACTGTCCTTTGTGGCCACAATTCAGCAAACACTCTGAGTGCCCTCCAAATCCTGGGTGTCCCCACAGAGTTTCAACCCCGTCTGCCCTCCTTTTGCCATAGCCCCCAGGTGAGTGGCTGTGGCTATTTTAGCGCTCTGTCCCTGCTCTCTGTGCTGTGGAGCTGGCTTGGTCTTTATTCCTCAAGGGTATTGCTCACAGCCAAGACTCTGCTTCCTTGGGCTCCCAGCCCACCCCTCTCTTGTGCCTCCACAGATGCTACCAGTGTTCCTGGTTATATGGTCCTGTCCTGCTGCTTTTCTGTTGCTTTTTTCTGAGGAGTTGTCTTCATTGTAGTTGTAATTCCCATTTAGTCCTGGGATATCGTCTGTGTAGCTTCTATTCACTCCATCTCCATTTTCACATCCTCTAAGCTTATCTTGTGTGCAGCTGGGTCACACAGGCCTTTCTGGTGCCCCGGCTCCCTTCAGGTTTCATGGGTAACTGGATCGCACAGTCCCTTTGGGGACCCTGCTCTATGCCTATGTTATGGGCCGCTGGGTCGCAAGGGCCTCTTTGGTGCTTCAGCACTCCACAGGCCCTGTGGGTAACTAGATCGCACAGTCCCTGCTGGGTTGCACCGTCCTCTCTGGTGCTTCAGCACCCTGCAGGTCCTGGGGCTAACTGGATGGCACAGTCTCTGCTGGGTTGCACAGGCCTCTCTGGTGCTTCAGCACCCCACAGGTCCTGTGGGTAACTGGATGGTACAGTCCCTGCTAAGTTGCACAGGCCTCTTTGGTGCTTCAGCACCCAACAGGTCCCGAGGTAACTGGATCGCACAGTCCCTGCTGGGTCGCACAGGCCTCTCTCGTGCCTCTGCACCATGCAGTTCCTGTGGGTGAGCAGCTGGATTGCACCCGTCTCTCTCGGGATCTGGCTTCCCACTGCACTTGTGAGCTACTGGACCACACAGGCCTCTGTGGAGCCCCAGGTCCCGCTGCCTGTGGCTGGGGAGTGCTGCTGCTCTGTGGGGCTCAACTCCTGCTCAGTTTTCTGTAGATTTTGGGGATGGGTCTCAGTCGCTGGTCTGTGCTTCTGTTGCCTGGGGATGGATGTCTGCTCCCCAGCCTCTGTTGCTGGGGGTATATCTAGCCTCTGATTGGGCTGCTACTGTGAGGATGGTGCTGGGCTCCGGGTTGTCTGTGGCTTCTGCGACCAGCACCTTGGGAGCTCCACTACTGTGCACTGGTCTGTGCTGACACAGAGTGTCCACTGGTCTGATGGTGCCAGTGTGCTGGTGGGCTCATGTTGCTGGGCTTTAGCTGTTCTTACTGCCTCCTCCCAGGGACAACCCGGGATCTTCCAAAATGGTGGAACCTCCCTGTGGCATAGGGAGAAGAGCCCTGAAGGGCCGCTTACTGAGGTAGCTGGCTGCTCCCATGTACAGCAGAGGAACCTTCTGCTCAGCGTCTCTGCACTGCATGGGTTTGGTCATCCACCTTCAAGTCTACTCGCACGCTCTCACACACTTGCTCACTCTCTCACACACTGACCCTCCCTCCGGTCCTGCCCACAGCCATCTTCCCTGTATCTTTTTGTTAACCCTAAATTTAAAAAAACTGGCTGGAGTAGAGTAGAGGCTGCTTATGTTTTAGTTGAAATGACAATCCTTGTTTTGAAACATCTCCTTCTAGATTATCTCACTTTTGATCCTGCTCCCCCAGTTCTCCCAGGGCCCCTGAAGGCATTGTGTTTGCTACCCCTGATCAGTAGATTTACTTCCTTTGATTATCATTGCAAGTATACAAACTGCAACACTAGAACTTTACAAATAATTAAATGACATTATCAACTTTTTAGGTCAGGCCACTATACATATTTTAATATAGCAAAGATGTGCATTGAAATAGAAAATATTTAAATAATACTGAATCGTGAATTAATCCTCAGTTGAGGCCTTTGCCTATCTGATCTATTAAGACAAAAGCAAGAACAAAGTATAGTCAGACTCTACCCAGGAAAACAGTTGATTTCCAATATTAACTGAGCAAATATCAGTTCAATGAGGAATCAATTTACTCAAACCTTCTCATAAATTCTGGTGCAGACCACGCCCTTCATCTTACATTCCTTTAAAAAAAGAGAGAGAGAGATCAACTGAATATCTAAAGCTCAAATAAGGAGACAGCAAATTTGTAGTAATAACAGAAATTAAAAACAACTTCATGAGATTAAACTCGGAAAAGATTAAAATATCAGCATGCCCATCTTCAGTAATTTAGAATCATGACCACTAACCAGGAGAAACGGTTTTAAAGTTGATCTATGCTATGGCAGAAGAATTCTTTTAAAATGCCAACTGTTTCTATTCTGTACACCTGAAACTAATACAAAATAATATGGAATGTAATAGTAAATAAATAAACAAATAAATAATTTGCATGCTTTGAAACCTACTAAAACAGTATTTTTCAAAATTATCTGCACATTTGTATTTTCTGAGGAATGTTTAAAAATACTGAAGGCTCCTCCTCCCCCAAAAGGTTTTATCTGTGTTGGGACCCCTATATTGATATTTACTCCTCATGTAAATCTATTGTGCAGCTAGGAATAAAAGAACCTTTATACTAAAGGAAGGGACACTCAAAACACTAAGTGAATCTATTTATAGTCAATGTGTGTGTTAATTAGTAAGCATAGAACCTAAAACTTGAAAAAATCATTAGAGGTCATGTCATATGATCTTTGTCATCCTTCCTATTTGCTGACTAAAAAGGTCTCGAATGAGCTCAGCTTCCATTATTGACACGATTTAGTTCAAGTTACTATGGATTCTTGAAAACAAAACACATAGATATCTATGAATATTCTACAATTGTGCCTTTAGGATTTGTTTTACTTTTAGAACTTAGACTTACTTTTCTCTTTGTGAGTCCCAGCTAGTGAGATTTACCCATACACTCTTTAACTTTACTGTCATTTTTGGGTGTTGTTATTTCTAAAATAACAAGTAGTCCTTCTTAGTTCTAAATTCTTGAACCTAAACTTGAACTTTTGATAGTTTCAATATCACCCAGGCATTAACTCCGACTTCACTTGCAACCATTCTTATCTATTGGGATACTAAAGAAAAAAGAATATTTTGGAAATAATATAACCAATTTCTCTATTTAAGTAGCATTATTTCTGTATTTCGAGGTAAAAATACTCTTACCACTACCATTTTGCCATCCATCAACTTTCTCTTTATTGTGGTCTCTTTGCCATCCCATTTCTGCACTTGATTCAGTGAATCTTTCGCCAAGGTTATGACACTCTGTAAAGACAAGTTCACATAATTGACTTGCTTGGCCGATGGTTGATTAAAGAAGCAGTTTGTTGAGTATTGAACCATTTTCATAAGAAAGGTCTCTTGCAGCACATTCATTTCCACAGAATGGAGAAGTCTACCTTTTCAACACCAACAGGAGTAATTCTCTCTCAAGTTACAGACTTAGAAGAGAAACACTGAACTTTACCTTTGTTTTCCGGTTGTCAGCTGTGGTTTCTTCAAATTCCTGGCCTAGCTTGAAGAAGATCTCTGTATTTTTAAAGGTGCTTTCAGTCCTTATGGTTATAATATCCCCTTTCTTACTGATGATCACTCTGGGTTTAGCCATATTTCCCAGTTTTCTGGTGGCTAACCCCACACCTGAAAATCAAGGTAGTATTAGAATCATGTTGACCCAGAGAGAGCACCTAGAGAGATTGTAGCAGGCTCATTCTGGGCTCAGGTGTGCCTCATGTGCGTAGGTGGCAGGTAGTGTCATCACTACTAAGGACCCCCTCCCATGTTTCATCTCCTGATGGAACACACCATGAACTTTGATATTTTAGGTTTTGTTATTATAAAAGTAATGTCTGCAGATTTGAAAGATAAAAGTGTTCAGCTTGAATAGTGTAAGTCATCCACTTCACCACATCCAACCCTGCACTCTACTGAAAATCACTAATTATAGTTTCTATGGCAGTACAGACATTTTAGTTTTTACATAAAATATAGACGTATTTTTAAATGATTCAATAACATATACACACTGTTCTATGACTTTTCTCCCTCAGTCACATATGGATTTAGAAAAAACTTCCCCCACATCCAAGATAGAATCTCATTTTGAGAAGGCAAGCCAGGTGCAGCCCCTTAAGCAGTGCAGAAACCCCACCCGTGGCTTTTGTAATTCTCTTAATCCACCAACTGCCTACACTACAGTGGAACTAGAAGGCCTCCAAATACCCGGAGGCTTATTATGTATAAAAGGCTCTGAAACTCAGGTTTGAGACTCAGCCTCTGGAGCTGACTCAGCTGGGACAGCACCCATGCCCATTGTGTGTGTGTGTGTGTGTGTGTGTGTGTGTGTGTGTGTAGTCTGTCTCTTCCTGCCAACCGAATTTCTGCCACAACAATTTCTGATATTTTGTTGTGGTCCCTAAATCTAGTTGGCAGGAAAAAATAATCTATCTCCCTTTAAGACCTGTAGCATTCCAAATGATCATAAATAAATAAAATAATAAAAAAAATTTTTCTGCATTTGAAAAACAAAACAAAATTAGACTCAGGTGTTAGTATTAGTATCCAAGATTATAAAAATGCATGGAAAAGGAGAAATGTAAAATGAGAAAAATGTATGAGGAAAAAGTAGTGTATCTATACACATACAGGGGTGGGTAAAAGTAGGTTTGCAGTTGTAGTGCAAATAAACAATACATTACAATAATTAATAAATACAAGAATAAACCCTGTGTTTGCAAACCTACTTTTGCCCACTCCTGTGCCTTTTTAAAAATAAATAAGAAGTGAAGAGTTAGATCTAATAAAGAATTGTGAACTATACTCTTTTTTTCTAATTCTGATTACTCTTATGTTATTTTATATGATTTTCAGCAATGGTTTTCAAATTAAATTTATGTGATAAGGCCTAAGAATCTGTGTTTTACCAACCCCCAGGCATTCTTATGCACTCTAAAATTTGAAAGTGACAGAATTAGGGGGTCCTTCATTGAGACTTTCTTGTGTTTTACTTCTTCCTCAGCTGTGAAGTGAAGTCTATACATTTAACCAATCTGATAGTACAGATCCCCATAAAGTCTCATAGTTTTTCGGGCAACATGACAGGATTTTGCTCATTTTATATATAAATAGAACCTTTCTCATAAACTTTCTGAACAGGTAAGTGAAGCTTCAGGTACTTTGACAAGCGTGGCAACCTGAGGCCATTGACATCACTGTCTATTAGATTTATACAGCTCTGGACATGTCTAAAGACTCTTCCCATTTATTATGCTTGTAAATATGGAACATTCTGTAGAAATAGTGTCAAATAAAGCTGATGTAACTAATGCCTGGATTTTCCATCCACTCCTCCAACTCCAGGAAAGTCTAATGTTACTGCAACTGAGTTTTGAACTCACTGTCACACCCAATTCTCCTTATCTCAGTAACTTCCCTAAGCTATGAACATCCTGCTTTAATGCATCGTCTTTTTACAAATTCTCTGTCTATATGACTATGTAATAATGGACAGCCTAGAAGTAGAGAGAGAAAACTTATAGTTTGGCTAAACATCAAAATTTTAACTTCAGTATCTTCAACTCCTTATATCATGAGCACTTTAGTTGTTATAAAACTAGCATTCAGGAAAGCTAGGGAATGAATGGGTTGACTAAACTTATAAGATTTCTTTCCTGCAGGTCTGAACCCAAAGCCCTATTGATATGAAACTGCCCTTGAAATTAGTGGGAGTTCCATGCATTTAAGCAACTCTCACGTAGGTTAAAATCTATTAATACTGCCACAAACAAAATGCAAACAAATGATCTGGTTGACACAGGAGAAGAACAATCCCAGAAAAGGACTGTAGTTCAGCCTATGTACACTTCCCCCAGCCCCCTGGAGGAGTTAGAAGGCAATAGTCATACAGCTTTCTCCAAAAGAGCCTTCTGAACCAGAAGAAGAAAGCCTTTCTTACCCAGAGCTTTCATGTAGTCATCGAAACGCTCACTGGAGACCAGCTTCCATGTGCCCACAAATCTGCTGCTCATCGTGCTGGATGAGAACTCAACCCAGTTCTCGGTGAGATTCAAGAGACTCCAGTGAGATGCTGGAGCCTCAGAAGATGCTTTTCAAAGAAGTCCATAGCATGTGACTCCCACAGAGACCCAATGGGGAAAAGCAGAGTCAGGCCTGGGCAATGAATGGCTTGTCAATCACCCATTAGGATAAAAGAGAACCTCACATAATGTTTTCTTTCATCTCCAGAAATTTTTATAAAAATCAATGAGAGTACTATTTGAACTTTTAAAAATATTTTTGGTCAATCTTACATTTTAAAGAAGGGCTTATGTCCTTAATGCTTCTGGAAAGAATCCATGAATTGAGTCTTATACCAAACTAACTGAGCATGAAAGGATGAAGGCGTGTGTGTGTGTTCAGGCATCTTGGTCACTCTCAATCCTGAGTCTGCACAATTAAGAATTCTTATTGAAAGAGAAGAAAGAGGGGAAATGTCCCTGAGTATTGTCATGATCGCCTCCACTATGTTGTGGGAGAGAAAAACCAGAAGCAGTATGAGGATGTGGTCATAGGTGAGGGAGGCTCGGCATAGCTCACATATTCAAGCAGGCAGAGTGGGAGGCAAACACAGCCAGTGTGTTAGAGCAGAGACAGAAACTGGATTCACGGAGGGAAGAGAATAGCGATCCAACACGCTCCTTGACTCCAGCGATGATCGTCATTTAAAAAGGATATTAAGATTGAATTAGGCAGGCTCTAGTCAATACAGAAACTTTAAATCCTTAAAAAAAATAAATCTACAATTATATAAAGAGAATGGATTTTCTTCAAGCATAATACTAATATATACGGAGAGCTCACTGTGGGGCAGTCACTGTGCTAAGGGCTTAATATGCATTTTTTCATGTAATCTTCAATAATCTTCAACAATTCCAGGATCCAGGTACTATTATTATATCCATTTACCAAAGAGAAAATTAAGCTAACTTTCCAACTGTGACATTTAGAAACGGTGAACACAATTTTTAAAAATTCCTCAAGGCGTCAGATTAAAAGGTAAAAGAAAAAAAAAATAAAGGTCTAGGATTTGGGCACAAAAGGATAACCCAGAGAAACAGGCCCAATATGGGGGCTGCTGCTCCTATAGGCAGCTATGAATTCTGCGAGAGGCAGGAGAGAGACCTAAGTGTGAGAACACTTATGATGGTGTCCCAGGTTTTGGGGACAATGACGAAGAGCCTGGTTAATCATCACATGTTGGTTTGGGACCTTGAAGGGCTGCAACAGGGAAGCAAAGGGGAACTGCATGTAGACCTGTGCTCGTACCCAGTCGACTTTGCAATCGGGGCAGTTAGCGAGCTGGCCAGTCAGAGATAGACACTGCCTCCCTCCAGAGAAGATCGTGTCACCCTAGGTCCAAGTTTATGTCTACAGTTTTCATACACATTGTTAATAAGAAATAAATAGAACAAAAGGGACCAGAAAATATGCTCAAAAAACAAACAAAAAAACCAAAATCCACAAAACAATAAACAGCAGAAATAGATCATTAACAGCAGATATTAATAAAAAAACAAGCATATTATAGAATATATCATCAAAACCAAAAGTTTTTGTAAAGACTAGTAAAGTTGACAAACTCTTAGCAAGATGGATTTAAACATAGAAAAGGCAAAGTTATTGATTGCAGAAGCAAAAAAGGTATATCAATGTGTCTTATAGCTATTAAAAAGATCACAAGAAAACGTCATGAACTACTTCATACTTCATGCCAATAAATTAAAAAATTTTAAAGAACTTCTAAATTCCTTAGAAAATGCAATTTATTAAAAATAGTATAAGAAGGGAAAAATGAATATTTTCAAACTATCACCATTGAAACTATAATTAACCATTTTCCCACAAAGCTACTCCAGGCCTCTAGGCACCAATAAATTCTTATAAATTTTTAGGGGAAAAAAAGTAACACCAATCTTACACAAAATCTTCCAAAAAACAGAGAAAAGAGGTACTAATTTCCAGCCTGCTTCTCCCAAGGACTTAGCACGTGCCTGTCTTTCTTTCTGGAATGGCTAGCCCTCCCACATGGTTAACCCCTAAATCTCAGCTCAGTCATATTTTCTTACTTCCGGGGTGACATCCTTTAGATTTCAGCTCAATCATCATTATTAACCTTTCCTAATATGTCATCACTTAGCAGTTACTACAATGGCAATTTTTATTAATATTGGATACTAGTTAACTAATATGTATGTCACCCATTGAAGTCCTGATTCCATGTGATTTTATCCATGTAGCATCCCAAATATATAGCACCATCATGTACATAATAGTAAGCAATGAACATTTGTTGACTGATGCTGAATAAAGAAAATATAGCATTTTCTACTTATGAGGTTGATTGTTTGCATTAAACTAGGTCATAAGTATTATGAAATCATCTACTGTGAGTGCTATGATCAATAATATTATTCTCCTGAACTCCGTCTCCTTGCCTTCCCTGCCTTCCTTTCCTTCCCTGCTTACACTGTGCTGGGAGTCCTGCCTAAGTGTGAACATGGGTACAGCACTCGTTCCTTCATTTGCTCTTTACTGCAGTCAGTAAGGAAGCAGAGGGTTCTTTCCACATTCAGAATGACTTGATCTTAACATGACACTAGGAAAGTCACATAAGGTAGTTCCAATATGCATTGTACACAGTCACTCTTGTACGCAGACAGTTACTGAATGCAGACTGATAGAACAAGGGTAGCACTGGCAACAACATGGTGAGAATCACGGTGATGGTTCCTACCCTCATGGGCCTTACACTCTCATTAGGAAGACAGACTTTCAACAACATCCAGAGACATGTTAGAATGCTCCATTATTATGCTCCATCATTTGCAGATGGCGGTAATGAGAATACCATTAAAGAGCCAATTAATCATTACTACTTAGGAGGACACGTTGCAGAATTTCTCAGATGCTCTGAGGTCCCTCCCGAACACCTATTTGACAGAAGGTGACTCCAGGCTTTCGAACCTCCTCTTCTATGTTTCAAATAAATGTTTTCTTCCTGTTCGACAATGCTGAGATTAAACTTACTTTCTTAACACCAACAGTGTCTTGTTAGCCCGGAGGCTACCTGATCTTTTCCTCACTGTAGTGACAGTCGCATCTGTGCTGCTCAAAGGCAGCAAATGGCTCTTCTTTTGTTAAATGACAAGAAGGGAGGGAAGAAGTGGTTTGTGATTCCTCCAAACAATGCAGTTGGCTTTCTTTTTACTGGACTTGAGCATGCATAGCCTCTTCTCCAAAGTCTAGTCTAAGGTTTCACATCATTATTCCTAATAGGACACCTGAGAATTGAAGTACTCATTCACATGGGAGGAAATAGAAGATGGGATTTCTGCATTTCAGTTTCTTTCTCTAATCATTATAGCACAACCTGGGCAGGTCAAGGTTGGTTTTTAAAAATTTTTTAATTTGCATTTCCTCTTAGAGAGAAAGTGATATTAAAGTCATGAAAGTAGGCTGTACTTTTCAGGCATAAGTTGCTGTAGAAAATACTTTTTAGGACTCAGCTACCTGCTCCCTTACAGCTGATGGGAGAAAATAATTCATTTAAAACATTCACTTGTAAAGCATAGTGAAAAGTGTGTGTGTATAGTTTTATTTCATACGAAACAAATACAGAGTGGAGCAAAAGGAGGCTTACAGTTGTGACTACTCAAAACACAAAGTTTATTCTTGTATTATTATGTATTAATGATTGCATTATTTTTCATAAGAACAACAGTAAACCTACTTTTGCCCCACCTTGCATAAACATAAAAATTCAGGTGATTTTCTGATCCAGGTAGCCTACTTTGTTTTCTACATTTTTTCCCCTTTATTGTCTTACACATTTTTTTGATAACTGAGATGGTATGAAGACTTTGAGAGCAAGTGTAATTGACATCTCTCACTTTGTGAATATGCTTTGCAATTTATGTATCAAAGGTACTATTTTTGATCAGCATCTACTGAAATCGAAACTCTACTTTCAAAGAAAACCAGAATCAATTTCTCTGCTCATTTTCCTCAAAGCCTTTTTCTAACTGAGTTGCTTCCAGACCCTGCTTAAAGCTCGCCTCCACTGAGTCTTCTCTGTTCCCTCTTGTTCTGCCCACTGTTAAGTGTGCATGCCCTGTTTACATTGTTCCTACTCTGTGCATTGAATCCCCTTATAATCTGCAGGGGCTGTGGGAAAGATGAGAAGAGGAGGGGTTTCCTGTGTAGGTCCATTGCATAAGGTCGTTAACCTTCCCCACAACACTGTGAACGAGATTTCTCCATTTTGCAAAGGAGAAACGTTTAGTGGTTAAGCAGCTCATTTCATGCTCACTCAGCTGTCAGTGGCCGGAGGATTCAAGTTCATTTCACCAAGGCGGGTCTCTGGAGGACTGTCGACTCCGTTTTATTTTGGGGCTGCTGGATAGATAGCTCCTCCCCTCTTATCCCTCCCCCCAAATTACACAGCATCTATATATCAAACTTCAAAGTGGACAGGCTATATTTTCTCCCAAATGTTCAAAAAGAAACCTTTAGAACCTATAACTTGGGGATTAGACTATGCCCTGACACTTTATCCTAATTTTACATCTATTTTTAGTTATCACCTTTGGAATAGTCAGTTGTCTTTTGACCGCCAGTGAAGAAAAATATGTCCATTTGTGCTTATTGCATTTTTGTGCAAAAAATATAGAAATTAGATACACTAAGAATGTTCAAAAATTATTTTTGTCAGTGAGTTACTAAGTAGCATTGAGTAGCAAAAAAAAGAAATCTGGTCAATTATGTTTGATAATAATATTAATCATGGTTTTAATATGATTGATCTTTGAATAATTAATGTTTTCCTACAAACATTAGTGTGCATTTAAAATAGAATATTTTACTACTAAGTTATTCAGAACAAAAATTTTCAAAAATAAAATATATTTTCCTATGTGGCTCCTAAAAACTATTCTCACTTCCTTTTTTCAAACTTATTGGAAAGTGAATA